GATTCATTGGTTCTTAGATATTTCATTTCCCTGATAAAAAAAATTCAGGAATTGTCCAATTCTTTTTTTTTAAAAAAAATTGTTTTTACCTTCAGTACATATATATAAATACTTGAACTTTACAGCTATTGACTTCCCATTCCTTTCCAAACTGTAACTCTCATGCCTCATCCGTTGCATTCCTATAGGCAAAATCATTGAATTATGGACACCCAAAACAAATAGGATGCTATTTTGTGCTTTAGGCCTTTACACTTCTCTTATATGTATTTCACATTTGAAATTACTTATACTGTTCCCTCCACAGACCACACACTGCCATCTAACCTTGTTTCAGACTTAAGCTACACAGCACATTGTTTATAGCTAAACCAGTATAGACTTCATTTTTAGCGCTACATGAAACTGAATTTCACCGCTTATTCATGTACAGTAGTACGCCACAAATCATTCTTTCTCCACCACACATATATGTATCTTTTTAGAATCCTATTCTTACTAAAACTAGGCACAGCTCTCTTTGCAGGAACAAATAGATGGAGCACATCCTCCATGAACAGTAGCCCTTCTGATCAGAAGAAAGGCTACAAACAAAGCAACAGATGCAGTGAGAACCCCACAGACTCAGGATCAACGTCATCATATCCGCTTTGTAAAATAGCATATATCCCTATATGCTACTCTTTACCTCCTGCAAAATTAAGCCTATGTACAAATTCATGTGTTCCTCTCAGCTACTTTCCAGCGTATATGACACATCCCCTATATGCTACTGCTTACCTCCTGCAAGATTAAACCTATGTATAAATTCATATAGTGCTCTCAGCTACTTTCCAATGTATGCTATATCCTTTATTATCTCGACATTAGCCTGCTCTTTATTAGTTTGCAAAAGGTGCGCGCATGAGGACATGAACTAGCATGTTATCTCGACATTAGCCTGCTCTTTCAGGATGGTGGTGCTGGAGATCACAGCCTCAGTAATTTGTACTTAGATACTCATATATCTATGTACATAAGGGGCGCGCGCTTTCTACTAGTTACATAAGTTTCCCGTGCTGAGATGCAGTTCCAGCACAATAAACAGAAATGTCAATGTCAAACACAGTTTCCCGTGCTGAGTAATGTCAAACACAGTTGCGGATTGAATATCATCAAAAAGAGGACAGGGCCTCTCAGCAACTGCTAGAGTTTGTCAGAGTTTGTGGGTGTTCGACCAGGGCCGAAGTTTAGTTCGTGTCACGTCGTTGGATGTTCGGATACTAATTAGGAGGATTAAACGTAAGTTGATTATAAAACTAATTATATAGGAATAGATTAATTAGCGAGACGAATCTATTAAACCTAATTAGTCTATGATTTGATAATTAGGCTTAATAGATTCATCTCGCAAATTAGTCTCAATCTGCGTAAATAGTTTTGTAATTAGTCTACGTTTAATTCTGCAAATTAGTGTTCAGACATCCGATGGGTAAAAGACTAAATTTTAGGAAGAGCAACAGTAGCTTCATCCTCCCGATGAAAGTATATGCTGATGACAACACGAAGTCCAGACTTCATCGACAAAATTTTCAACATTCTTGCAAGATTGATCAGACTCCAATAAAAATGCACCTATGAAAAGTGGCAGAAGCAAGTTTGCATGTCCACCACAGCTCAAGCACTGACTTTGTAAATTATGTATGGACACTTTTTTTCCTTGCTTCTATGGGTGAGTCAGTTTGGCTTGCTTAGACTGACAAGGTTAGCCTTGCTAGGCCGAGCGAGGTGAGGCAAGCTGGTGAAGGAACCAAGCATGCCCATAAGCTCCCGTCCAAGTAAATGCTCTTGCTATCATAAATAAACAGGGTTGAAGCTACATTCACGTTTAGTGGTGGTCGTGTAGGATGACAAGAGCGTGTGGATACATTGGTTATGTTGAATCACAACAAAGCGTGTAGATACGTTTTGGTTTCGTGCCATATAGCTCGTTGAATCCAAGTGCGTGATCCAGGGTCGTATCACGCCTTGTCTCGGTTGTTCTACTTGACTATTTTTTAGAGTATGCGATCCAAGGTCGCGGCACGCTTCCCTCAGCCGTTTTGCCTGATTGTTCTAGTTTTCATATAAGCTCCGACCTTACTCCCGCTATAGTGCAAAAATGGAGGTCAAAGCTATGTTTTTGTTACCGAAACAAAATGAAGCATGTGGACACGCTTCAATTATGTACGAGACAACTCGTTGAGTCCAAGTGCCACACCCTTTTACTCTCTGCCAAGAATCAATGCACTCCAATCATGTTTTAGAGTACACGATCCATGGGCGCGGCACACCTAATCTCGTATGTTCAACTCAGCTGTTTTTGGTTATGTCAGTTTTGACTCTACCTGTGAACGATTCCTCTGAAGTCTTTTTAGTGCAGAGATAAGCTCCTATCTAAGTGATTGCCCCTGATATAGCATAAAAACAAAGGCTGAAGTTACGTTTTTATTCTAGCGGTGGCTGTGCTGAAAGGAAACAAAGCCTGTGGATACGTTTGTTTGCATGCAAGGCAAGTCCCGCCCCAGACTATACCGGTTCCCACACCCGATACACTGCTAACGGGCCCATGCTCAACAAAGGACCTTCAATTAACAATGCCAAACCCCCAAACTAGAGCCAATAAAACGTCGAGTTTGTTTGGTCAGGAAAAAAAGACCATGTCATTTTTTTTGGCTTGAGCCCAATCTGTCGCATTGCACGAGTCGAGCTATTTCTTGATTTCTTAGAATTTTACACTCAGCTCAGTTTTTTCGGGTTGAGTCAGGCCACAATTTAAAAATTATGGAATGAACTAGACCTAACGCATTGATGAGCTGGGCCTTTTTTCTTCGGACAGATTGAATCAAGTTGATCAGATAAGGTGACCCATAAACAGATTTACCTCAAACTGAGCAATTGGACAGGGCGCGAAGCTTGGTTAAGACCAAGCGGGGCCACGGCCCTGCCCAGTGCTATTTCCTTTTTTCTAAATAGTAATTTCTTGCTCCACCACTGAAACAGGTCTACCCAAAATCTAATAATATATAAATATAAATGGCTGAAAATGACATCAAAATACAAGCCGATAAATAAATACATTTACACATGAAACAAAATGCAAGCAAGCCACGAAAACTGATTTCTTTGTTTTTGAAAAAATATAGGTAGCGTGCCCGTGCGTTGCTATGAGCCGCGATAGCTAACATTTTATACTAAAAACACACGGATCGTACGATAAACTGTAAAATTAAATATCAATATTAAAGTGATATTTAATTCAAAAATCAAAGTTTGTGAAATTAACAGTCATAGAGAGCGTGGCGTGGCTTACAAACTCTATTGTATAAACTTTTTCCGTGATATGACTAAGATAATGTTTTATATCGGCAGGAAGAAATCTCCGATATCCATTTCTTTCGTGCGCCAATAAATCCACAAATAAGTTTCGCCGCATCTCCATATCATCTTGTAGTATATTGCCCGTATTAACGGTACGACAAAATCTAGGATAACACACATTAAACAGTCATTCATCAAACTTGGTAAACAACCTATCATTACCAATTTGAAAAACATGCTAAATCCAAATCAATCTATTATATTTGAGCATTGGTTATTACAAATGTGTCTGCTGTTGATACAACCATCTTCCGGTAATCCCAAAACTGTTTTGAGATAACTAAGAATAAAAATTTACTAATAGATTGTGCCATGCTCCCTATAACCTCCGCGGCCTCCAAACCCCACGATATACACCTTCCACTCGGCCCAGCAGGCAAAGGGAGACATTGTTCGGTGCACAAGTATTGATTCCATGAGGCCTAGAAACATGTTCGGTTAATCCATGTGGTTAGAACAGTGACCCAGCTACTTGTTTACTAAAGGTGAACTGAATATGTACCGAAGAATCAATGAACAATGTACATAACTACACCTTAACCTAAAAAAATATGTACACAACAGCAATTGGTACTAATATTGATTGTACTCAATGGCATATCTTAAAAAAGAATTCAGCATGATATTAATGCCTCTAGAAATTGGTTTCTCTCGCTTTAAATTTACATTAAAAAGGAAAATTCACTCGTTTTCAATTTACACCATATAATATTAATGCCTATAGGGCAAAATTCACTCGTTTTCAATTTATACCTAAAAAGGAGAATGAGCTATGATTCTAGGAATTGGTTTTCTATTGTCCACGATCCATTTTGAGGCAAACACTCCTATGCCCTCCAAATTAGCTGACACCACAGTCATAAGATATTAAAAGGAGAGGAGCAAGGAAACACAAATTTTGCTGGACCTTGCTAGCATTTGTGACAGCTGACACCACAGCCCTCTGATCACAGAACTATCAGTTGCATCTTGCAGGACTACAAATTATAGGATACAAAAACAATACTGAGTGAGCGTGATGTTCGCAATATCACTATTAAAAGTAGCATGAACTAATGTGGTGATTTGGTTACCTGCAGTAGCCTCTAGAAAAACTCGAGCAGTACAACCCATTGGTAATGTGGTGATTTGGAGAATACTTCAGATATTCAGGTGGTATGATTGTTGGATTTTTTTAGATGAAAATGTTCCGCATGATGAAAGTGCTAGCAAATATTCAGGTGGTGTGATTGTTGATTTTTTTAGATGAAAATGATCCCCATGATGAAAAACTCCATCCATCTAAAAAAATATTTTGCATAGTCTAGAAAACTTTTTTTTATAGGCATAGTCTAGAGAACTAACAGACAATAACCAAAACTTACTATGCTGATTCTTTTATTAAACAAAATATGGAACAATGATGTTAGTAGGAAATTGCACATTGAAAAGACTGTATGGACTATTTGCAGAACATAAAAAAGAAAACTATTTTGTAGTAGGTTTCTTCAGTGCGAGCTAAAAGTTATATAGATACAAAACAGAAGTGTAATATGCACACTGATCTATAATCTTTTAACTACTAATTGTGTATAGATTGTTTATTTACCTACTAAGCCAAATCACAATGCCTCTGCCCACTGCCCACATGGCCTCTTCACGATGTGGTCTCCTGCCAGCACCGATCTCCCTCCTGCTCTGCAGGCAGCAAGCCAGCAACAAGCAGGCACTGTGTGCACCAACCAAAGCATAGACGAGAATCATCTCGTGCAAGGAGAAATAACAGCACTGATGCAACTTTGGTAATGTAAATTTGATACTAAATTTGGTTAAACTCTAACCAATTCAGAGCGGTACGAGTTCAGAGTATGCCATAGCCTTTAGCATCACATGGGATTAATCACATTGGTAAATAATTAGAAATCGTTGCCATCAAACCAAATGTACTCTACTGTCCTATATAATGGACAATAAGTCAATCGTCCTGTTCGCTGGTTGGTTTCTGGGCTGATAAGTCCGGCTGGTGCTGGTTTGTTGTAGGAGGAAAACACTGTTGGCTAGCTGATAAACCCTGGCTGAAACCAACAAGCGAACATGCTGAATAACTAAACAGCTGTGCACTGCTAGGATTTGTAAATGAACCAACAGCTACGCACTCCTAGGATTTCAGAAAACTGGAGCGCTATCTCATACCTATCATAGGACAGTAGGCCAGCCATGATCACAGGGACAGTGATGAAAGAAGTCACTCCTTGATCCTTGATGGCGTCAAAGGCTGATTTGGCGTCAAATTCAGTAGCAGGACATGGCAACCTCCGGCCACCAGGATAGCCATGCATGAGGAGATCCCTCCGATATGGCACAGAGGTGCCCTGCAGACCAACAAAGGCAAAGTATTGTAAGTCATACACTTATTGTTTCTTCTAAATTGAAATCGAATTGTATAAAGTCATTAACATAACATTAAAATTATGTTTGTGATTCATCAAATCTATTAATGACATAGGCAACATTATTTTCACGGGGGGAACTATAATATAAGAGTACATGGATCCTAATATCATACATCATCCTCACCGTAGTCATTTTCATGGCAATTTTTGCAAGGGACTGAATGATCAAAGTATGGCTTATCTCTACACCCTTTGGCTGCCAATTAGTTCCTGAATCAGAATACCATAAAGTATCAGCCATTTTGTACCCACGTTTCTCAATTCGAACTTCCTGTGATAGGCAGAAAAATTACAGAGATCTAAAAACGCAATGCCACATAGGGTACAGCTAAAAACGCAATGCCACAAAACTAACCAAGCCACAGTGATCTGTTATCCAGTACATGGGGTGAGATCTAAATGACGCGAATAAGCACAAACCTGCAGGACGAGCCCTCGGCATCAGCGGATCATTCAACAACATGCAAATGAAAAGAAGCAAAAGAACAAAGACTATCAGGGCTTCGAAGCTAACCTTTTTCTAATTCCAAAAGTGTTCCTCGACCAGCTAAATGAATGAATCTTAATTCTAAAACATATAAGCACAAGCAGGACATTAACGGCCAGAAATCTCATGTAACAAACAATTCAACGCATTGCAATCAGAGTCACGGCCAAAATCGATAGCCAAAATTATAGTCAATGCAAGTCACTAAGATTTAGTTTAGTTTAAGTATGCACCTCAATTCTAGAAAGAAGCATTTTACTATAGAATGCATAAACAGCTTTGCAGCTCATGCATACCTGAAACAGGGTGTCATCGGACAGTACGAATTTTGCGAAGAATAATCAAGAGTTAGCATCTGAATTGGTTCAATCTTCTATATTTTACAGGACAATACAGCAGGAGAGCAGCTGTTACTATAAGGACCATACTCTCTGTAGGAACACAATTAATCAATGAAATCTTATTATCAAACTTGTCACTGACAGCAGTGCTAAAAACATAAATCTTATATCATGAACATCTGTATATATTTTTTTATTCAAATCCTTAGTCAAAGATACTGCAGAACTATATGGAATAATTGAAAATTATTCTCCGTTCAGGAGAGGCTAGACGTATGCAGTATTGCAAAACATGGGTGACTGCAGGGTTTGAAAATTACCAAGCCTCACACAGCACAGCAGGTCCCCAGTACTCTTCTATAGCAAATTGCAATTGGCAACTCACTGCCTGACTCTGCAGACTACAAACCTGCAGCTCTGGCCTCTGGTGAGCGTCGTGGACGTGGGGCAACACAAGCAGGTCCCCTTCGTAGATTGGTGCCGCGGATCAGGTGCTGTGGTGGGCGTGCAGAGTCTTTGAAAGGGATCGAAGTAAGCAGGCATAATACATCTGCGAACATGTAATTAGATCAGATCCGAAGACAAATAGCCAATTAGTTTCAGGGTTTGGGTGCTCCGTTTCGCACAGCAGGAAGGGAAGAGAAGGCCCCCTCTTTTTTCTTCTTGTTCCCAATTCACTACTAAGCAAAGTTCGAACGAATTGACTATTCGTGTGATAAATTCTTTGAGGGTTGGCACACCTGGTGGTACGTTCTCCGCGATCACCACGTCCTGGCCGCGATCACCACGTCCCGGGCTCTTGGCGGGCGAGGGTGCTCCGTTTCGCACAGTAGGAAGGGAAGAGAAGGGATTGGCACACGTTCTCCGCGATCACCACGTCCTGGCCGCGATCACCACGTACTGGGCTCGTGGCCGGCGAGGGTGCTCCATTTCGCACAGTAGGAAGGGAAGAGAAGGGATTGGCACACCTGGTGGTACGTTCTCCGCGATCACCACGTCCTGGCCTGGCGAGGGAGATCGTGGAGACGCGGTTGGTGGAGGATGTCGCACGACGCCCTGTCGCCACCAGCGACGGCGGCCCGCCCGGCTTCATCCTGCTCGCAATCGAGGTCGCGGTGCTTCAAGTGGCAACGACGCGCTGCCGTATCCAACGATGGCAGCCCCGCCCGGTTTCGGTTCGCGAGATCGAGGTGAGGAGGGGCAGTCGTGGCGCGTCGGATCGAGGGGATTCGAGTGACCTCCCGATGATCCGTGGACTGCAGGGCGAGGGCGGTGCGTGCTGGTGGCGCCGATGGTGGTGGCAAGAGGGCGAGGGCTGAGGGATTGTGATGGAAGGAGCGCGCGCCGGGGTGTGATTGACGTCGCGGTTTCCTACTGGGAGCGATCGCGTGCAGGGCGTCGATCCGGGGAAAAGGTCCCACATGCTGGCGCCTTGCAACTGGATGAGCGGTATCGCACGTAGAAGGTAGAGCGACGCCTCGAACCATTGTCGCACGAATCGGTGGTCTTAGTTTTGTTTGTTTTAGTTGTAAGAGAAATGCATTACCTTTTGGCGTCACATACATAGAAACTGATACTTGTATAGTTTCAGGGTGTAAAGCTTTTGGGACGTCACATCGAATGTCACATGAAGGTGTTGAATGGGGTGTTCGGATACTAATAAAAAAATAAATTACAGAATCCGTCAGTAAACCACAAGACGAATTTATTAAGCCTAATTAATCTATCATTAGCACATATGTTACTATAGCACTTTATTGTCAAATCATAGGCTAATTAGGCTTAAAAGATTCGTCTCGCAAAGTACTCACAATCTATGCAATTAGTTATTTTTTTAAGTATATATTTAGGGGTGTTTGGTTGGCCACCGTTGTGTGCCACAACTAAGATAAGGCAGCCACAGTTCTGACACATGTGTTTGGTTCATTAAAAGCTTTTAGGCTCACCACAACTTTTTCAACTGAGTGAAGCAGAAAATCTCGCCACATCTTAGACGGTCAATTTCATCGCCGTAACTTCGGCTCGCCATAACAGACCCTTAATATTTCATACATATGTCAAATATTCATGTAAGGATACAACGCAGCCTCGATAGGCTATGACTACCTAGGCCTTGTATAGATGCCAAATTTAAAATGACATACGTCAAATATTATTTAGCAATTAGTGATATAGTCTAATTAGGCTTAAAAGATTAAATGGCGCAAACACAATTAGTTTTATTTTTTATTTATATTTAATGTTTCTACCTAAGCGAAAAATCTTGCAAGCTGCGGATAGGTTTCAATCGAACGGTCAGCGGAAGGCCTCTCACGGTCTCACCTCACGATATCCCTCCGTACACTCGCACACGCGCGCGTTCCAGGTCCCAAAACTTCCCAAACCCTTCGCCTTCCCGCCCACATAGCAGCTTCCGTGGACGAGCCCCACGAGAAACCAAAGCAATCACACCATCTTGGTCCCACGCGTCGGCGTACCAACTGTAAACAACACGTCCATCTGCCTACCCTTCTACCGTGGACCTCCCGCCACTCCCCTGACTGCGTGAGCTATAAACCCACCCACCTCTCTCACGTTTGCTCCCCCATCCACCGCACAACGGCCCTCCCTCGTCGAGTCCTTCGTGTCATTTCGAACTCAGAAGAACGCTTCGCCACTACGCCACCGCCCACCACACGGGTCCCGATGCCTCCCGTGCGGTCATCGGCGAGAGGCGGGAGGCGGGGTCGGGGGCGAGGAGGCCGGGGACGAGGACGAGGCGCCGCCGCCACGGTGACGCGCAGCAACCACGCCGTGGACTCCGAGGCGACCGAGGTCGATAATGGTGCGTGAACCGGCTGTATCGCCTTTGCGTTTTTTGTACCCAGGGATGCTTTAGCGATTTTCGAGCCTTTTCGGGATTAGTTACACTGTTCGTACATGTTTTGCGATCTGTTTTAGGCGAGAAGGATAATCGCTCGTCCTTAGGGTGGATCGGCGTTTTGGGTGGGTGGATGGGGGGCGCTTGATGGGTTTGGGGTTTTGTTGATGGAGGTCGTGGGTTGGGGTTTTGGGTGGATGGGGCCTGTTGGGTTTGGGGTTTTGTTCACAGAGGTCTCGATGGTCGTCCTTGGGGTGGATTGGGGTTTTGGCTGGAGGGGGCTTGTTGGGTTTGGGGTTTTGTTGATAGAGGTCTCGGCTGCCTTGTTGCTTCCTACATTTTGGTCTGGGATCGGAAAGATAATGTACTGTGTCCACATTTTTCTTTCAGATCACGACGACTCTTCACGTAAGAAGATGCTGACTGAAAAGATTGCATGTGTGGAGGACACCACAGCGGATGGGTGGGAAGCTAGCCCACACGACGTTAACGACGAATGTGAGAATGATATTGAAACCCGAAGCTCGTGATGTTACTGTGAGTTCTGGATTTCTGGCTGATTGTGACTTCAGATTATGCAGATGGTGGGGAGCCAACTCCTACGAGGAATCTGAGGCATCTTAGAAAGCATACAGTGGAGAGCAAAACTGCAGCCGCCAAGGAGCATGCTATTGATGTTGCTGTGGAGGTCAAAGAGAGTGACACTGAAGGTTTGTTATCCTATAAAAAATGGCAACACACATTTATGGCATTGCATATTTGTGCTTGCCATTCATGGCTAACCTGTCTGATGATTCGTTGTTCATTAATAGGTTTCTTTCTTTTTTGTAGATTCTGGAAACTTAGCTCCCATTGAGAATATTAGACAGAGTATGGCCAAGGCAATGAAGGGGATTAGACAGAGTTCAGATAGTGATGGTCAGTGATAAATTCAAGTTCTTGATGCATAATCTTTGTGATGATTGTTTGCATTTTTGCTCAGTGTTACTTCCATTCTCATTCTAATGTCAGATGGCCAGAAACTGGGTCAGCGCAGAAGATCAAAGTGCCTACTGGGCAAACAAACTAGAGTTCAAGACATGGATGTTGCGGATTTCGAAGAGGACATATTTGATGATAGCCGTAGTAGCTCAGAGGATGGTAAGGCTGGACAAACTAACTGTTTTTGATTTGAAAAATCTTAAGATGGATACCGATATAAGAAGTTATCACGTGGTGTTTTCAGAGGAGAGAAAGTTTGTTCCAAAAAGGTCAAAGCGCATCCAAAGGAAATATAGATCTGAATATGCCAGTGGTGATTTGAGTGAAGATAAGGATGCATGCTGGAGCAGCTCTAATGATGGTAAGATGCTTTGGTTACACTTATAATGTTCACACAATTCTAAGCCTGTTCTATGCAGAATGTGAGAGGTTGGCAATCCGTCGAAGATCAAAACGCAAATTGGGAACTCGACCCTGTCCAAACGACAATGAAGATGATAGTGATTTTGTGAATGGTAAGTGGATGCTGTTAAAATTCTTTCATTTTTTCAGACAAGGGTTATGACTTGATAAAGGATGTTTGCTTTGGTGCACCATGCAGCTTGTCACCTCTTAACACACTTCCTTTTTTTTTTGGAATTTGCATAGTTTAATTAATCCGCTTCACTAGATTCCATGTATCATTTTATGCAGTCTGAGTCCTTTCTAAAAGAAAAATTATGCAGTCTGAGACAGCTTTGTGAACTTTATGTTGTGTTCCAGTAACATTTGAACAAAATACAAACGAGTTTATGCAATTCAGCTGCATTTTACATTAACTTTGGAAATCCTCTTACAGATCATGGGAAGGCAGCTCCATGTAGAAGAATGTCAAAGCGGCTAAAAGAGAAGCAGAAAGCTGTTCCCATTCCTGATGTATGCCAGTAGATTAATAATTAGTTTATTAAACCTCCTGTTCTGATATAGTAATTAGTAAGTTTTTCTTCAGAAATAGTGATAAATCTTCCCTCTTTTCTAGGAGAGTCACATTGAAGCTTCATCAAGTTTATCAGCATCTTCGTCTTCAGGTATTGTTGGCAGCCATGAGTTTATTACCCACCCTTGTGAGTTCAGTTCATTTGAAGTAAACTCACCACAAAAAAGGTCAAAAGATAAATCTTCTTGAGTGCTTATGCTTTTGTGAATCCAATCTTTTAGAATTAATAACTTGTCTGGTATTCTAGATTCTTGTGTCGTTTTGATCTTTAAATATGCCATTTTCTGTTGTCTAACTAATAGCGCTTATGTCAGATGATGAATTATTGTGCAATTCTGTAAAATCTAGCACAAGATCTGGTGGACCAGTTTGCTTGATTTGTAAGGTAAGACGTCCATGATTTTTTTTCCTTATTTCCCGTAGGCCATATCCTTATGTAGTCCCTTATTTTGCATTATTTGTATCTCCCCCAGAGTGGAACTGCCAGCTCTCATATCATCCGATGCAAGAATTCCAATTGTTCTGTCAGCTTCCACACATTCTGTCAAAATCCTCCATTGCAGGATGCTACAAGAATCTCTGAATGCTATTTGTGCAAAATGGAAGTTTCCTTGGCCAGTGAAACAGAAAAGATTTTGGTAAAAAGGATACAAAGATACGTTGGTCACAGAATGCTGCTTATTCAGGAATCAGATTTCCAATATCAGGTCCTTGTGAAATGGCACTCCCTTTCGCATCATCATGACTGTTGGGTATGTTTTATTCTTTCTCAGTGCAAATGTGGTAATTTGTTTTTACTACGTGTGGTAATTTGTTTTTACCTCAACTTGTTTGGGACTTAAAGGCTTTGTTGTTGTTGTTGTATCGTCTAGCTTTTCAATGCAGCTACACAGGCATCTCAATTGGTGTTAATTGCATATGTTTTAGAAAAAAATAGCATGTAGGTAGCTGACAGGACTTTTAGCTTTATGTACATGATGTTTAGTAAGTTGAAGCAATGTGCATCTCACTGTGGGGAGGCCAGGATCAGGATATAACTATTCTTATCTACTTTCATACTACTATTGAATATAGGTACCATTGTAAATTATACCTTTCATTTTTACCCATGTAAAAATCATTGCACAAATGAATCAGAAAAATACTTTCACAAAAATTTACATATATCACTTTTTGATAAATATCTTTATAAAAATAAGTAGTCAAAGTTATGCTTTGGAGACCGTGTCGCTGTCCAAATGACTTCATTTTTTAGTATGGAGGGTGTGTGTGTGTGTGTGTATATATATATAGAACTACTACTCTGTAGCTGGCTACAAATAACTCATTCTGTAACCACTTTGAGTTACGATAAGTACTATGTTAATTTACGAGATTATAGTAATTCCTTACTAAGTGATTTACTATAACGTTATGGTAAATATCTCCATGTGTTATAGTAATCCAACTATCGTAAATATGTATTGACATTATCGTAAATTAGTATATAAAATTATTGTAAATGGAGGTGGCTACAGAATATATATATATATATATATATATATGACACTTGTTTATAGAACTACCAAGGGAAATCATTCAACATTTTGATTGCCATACCTTAGACAAATTTACTTTTACTCCAGGTTCCACTTGAATGGCTACAAGTTTTGTTTATAGAACTACCAAGGGAAATCATTCAACATTTTGATTGCCATACCTTAGACAAATTTACTTTTACTCCAGGTTCCACTTGAATGGCTACAAGTTTTTGATTGCATACGTGTACGGAGTTTTCTGAAGAAGAGCATGTAAGTTTTGTGCACTATGGGACTTTTTAAGTCATCCATAATTTTGTAATTGCTTGTGTTATTTGAATGATACCATATATGTCCACTTTTGTTGCAAGATTCTGTTTATGTTACAAGAAATCATATACATCATATGGAAACAGTTAATTGATAACTTAGGTCTATCATGGACTTAGATTTGCGCTCGGATATTCTGAATGATAAAGAATATTTGGCTGATTCTTACTGTATGTTTGAGACTATATTTTCATTGAGCGGCAGAGCTCCTGCCTTTTATTTCAAAAGAAAAATCATTGAAGTTATATATTTGCTACTGCATGCTCCCTTTTTCTAATCTCTTTCTAATGATTCTGCAAATTGTTTTGACAGCTTGCTTAAAGAGGTTTATTCAGAGGATCAGCGGAAACCTGAGTGGCTTGAAGTAGATCGTGCCATTGCTTGTCGGAGGAAGTGTGATCCTGATGGTACATGTGACATATTGACTACTTTTCAGGATAATAGTAACTTCGAGGAATATGAGGTCCTTGTAAAGTGGAAAGGCCTTGATTATTGTGAGGCTACATGGGAGTCTTGTTGTACAGAAGGTGTGCAGGCTGCCCTTTCCATGCTTGTTGAGAGGCATCAAAAGACTTTAAAAAGAATCGATCATGTCAGTCCACTATTCCTAGATAGGGTGATTCCGGAGGAGGTCCACAATGGTGCTTTATATGACTACCAACTTCAAGGTTTGCAATGGATATTTAATAACTTTAAAACTAGAAGGAATGCGATCCTTGCTGGTAAGTTCATGAATTCTAAGGCTATAATGCATGCTATGTGGCATATTTCAACTCAACATCAATTCCCCCCGGATGTCATATTGTTTTTGCGCCCAAAGCGAAGTTATTGCATTTAATATGTTACCCACTTTCACATGTCTTGATTGTTGGTTATTGTTGAACGAAACCGGACCACAAAACTGACATGCTTATTTCTTTCTTGTATTGAAATATCATGGAAACATGATAAAATGCAACTCTTCTATCTTTGAAATTGCAGATGAAATGGGTCTTGGCAAAACTGTGCAGGTTGTTTGTTTTCTCAATCACATTATTAAAGAAAACTTCACAACATCTCCTGCATTAATTCTCGCTCCTAAGAGCATTCTCTTGCAATGGGAAAAGGTATGTCAACCCTTATGTACCTTGTCTTATTATCCTTAGCCTTTTATAAGGAAAGGTGCACAAACAGATTCAATGTGCCATATAGAAAATGTTGGGTTTGTTTAGTTGAAATACCATTGTACTAATCCGAGTTGATAAATACTATTAATTGGCAAAATGTGTCTATATTATGTGTTATACCATATTTACTGGGTCCAGCTGTTCCACTCTTTAATGTTATATATGGTGCATTGTGCATAGGAATTTGGTCGCTGGGGAAGCAATCTTAATGTTATTGTTTATCAAGGAGACAAGGACTCAAGAAAGTGCCTTCAAGCTCATGAAATGTACTCTTCTGAAGGGAAGATTTTATTTGATGCGCTTGTGACAAGCTATGAATTTGTCCAAAATGATAAAATATTTTTGCAGAAGATTAAGTGGTCTACAATTGTCAGTAAGTTTTTTTTTCTGAGATAGCATTTTTGGGTTCTCGAATGCTTAAGTATCTTGTTTATTGATGTAGATTGTTTGGTGATTCCTCCTTTTCTTTTCAGTTGATGAAGCTCACAGAATGAAAAAGCTTGATTGCAACCTTGCAACTTGCCTAAAGCGCTATAGTTCTGAATTTCGCTTGCTACTTACAGTAAGTCTTATTTTGTTCTATTCTTTTAACAGTGCTTTTTTCAATACCGTTGGTAACCATAGAACTGAGCTGCTTATCAATTGTTTTACTGGCTTGCTGCCTCTAAGACAACCTGATATTAAGAAACCTCGAGGAAGTTTTAGGCTATCGTAAGTTGGGCTTGTTTTTTTTGGGAAAAAAAATCTAGATTTACAAATTATGTCACTAATATTTTCGTTAACAAACCTTAAAAATTTTGAAATCTGAATTCTGGACTATGAAACTTCACTCACCAATCTGGAATCATTGAGGATTTGTTTTGAAAAGGAACACTTGTAATATTATCCGTCTCGCTTTTGTTTCTGACTGGGAGGGGTTCTGATTTCATCTTCAGTGCTGAAGATTAAGTTAAAATTAATCTCTGATTTCCCAAGAACAATGTCAAGGCAGTTGGTTTCCTGAATGACTAATGACCTGCTTTATGTTGTCTCTGGACCATCCTTGTAACTTACATATGAAGATGGATTTGCTCTTTAGCCATTCTCTATGCAAGTAGCCCATTGTATTCTGTAGCAGCTAGCCCTTTTGTGTATCAAATTTTCCATTGTGCTGTAAACATGTTTGATTACTTATCATTTCACTATTCAAATGTTACAGGGAACACCGTTGCAAAACAACATGCTGGAACTATTTTCTTTGCTTCATTATATTGATCCAGATGAGTTTACTGATCCCAAGGCTGATGATCTATTCACACCCATTGAATCGGGAAATGAGTTGACTATGGAGGAGAAGATTGCTCGTATTCATGATATTTTAAAGCCTAGGTGTTTTGACTCTCTAATAGAAAATGCTGTTCAATCCATTAGTTGGATGTGGGTTCTCAGTTCATGTCTGATTGTTTTGTTAGGATGTTGAGGAGAATGAAGTCTGATGTTTTAACAGATTCCATGCCAACAAAGAAGTGGGTGGAAGTTCCATGTGCATTGACAGATACCCAGCGAGAACTTTATGTTGACATTTTGGAGAAGAACTATTCAAAGTTGAATGGTGCTATTAAAAGCGGTCAGTTCCAGAGTGACTCCTGCTGTTTCCCCTTTGTCTTATTGTGATGTCTTCAACTTTCACTTGGTAATGATGGCATATCTATGAACTTGTTTCTCCACGTAGGAGTGTAATATCTCTCTCTCTGTTTTGAGAGCTATTTTATGAGGAAATCACATATTAGCTAAGAGAGCATTACCCCCACAAAGTAAACAGGCACATGGGTGACACTTCTAAATCCAAATCCTATATTTTGAGATTGATTGTGGCACTCAAAGAACTGTCCAGTTTTGTTCATCCTCATTGTTCATGCTTCTGACTTGTCTGAATTTGCTAGCTGTATGGAGCTGTGACATCCATTATTCATTAAACAAAAAGATTGCCTTTGTTTTTTATATTGATCATCTTGCCATTGTCTCATTGAACCTCTGCATGTTCAATGTTGACTAGCTGAGGGCTCTTTTCTCCTTAAACATCATCTAGCTCTAGTAAAGCTCATGCACTTGTCTGGACTTTAATAGATCACTTTGTTATTTAGCTTGTTTCAATATTCTTGATAACTCACATTTTGGCTAACTCACATTTTAATAGATCACTTTGTTATTCTTGATACTTCTGCAGGCAAGAAGCTTGCTCTGAACAACATACTCATGCAGCTGAGAAAATGCTGCAACCACCCAGTAGGTTTTCCTTCCTTTCTAGTTGATTAATTAATCATTTACAACCACCCAGTTGGTACATATACACGTGATTACTTGAATGTAATCAGGTGTCCTTTGTTTTTGTTTTGTGCTATTTGAAAGTATTCTAGTGGTAATATCTTATTTTGATAATGATTTGTACGGGGTATGTTATCAGAGTACATATGTTGCAGAGGAAAAGCCTAAGCTGCTGTTCATATATATGCCCTTTGCCCTTGAGTATAGCTATGATTTACTACCTCTGTCCTTGAATATAATGGATTTTGTTATGTCCTATGTCAAATTGTCCTAAGTTTGACATAGCTTATATAAAAGAATAATTGTATTACAATATCAAATGACCATCATTGGATAAATTATGCAATATATATTTTTATAATTACCTCTTTGTTTTTTTAAATACTAATTCTCTTCTATACACTTGGCCTAAGTTAGGATGGTTTGACTTAGGGACATTCAGATCCATTATATTTCAGGACAGAGGTTGTACTTGCTACTGTGATTCATGGATTGCAGAGAGCTCTTTTTTTCTGGTGCAGATGTGCCGTTTACCCTATAAAATTGTTATAATACTTATAAACTAATAATTTCTTGAACTTGCCTTTCAGTATTTTTTTCAAGGACTGGACACTAAACAGCAATCAGAAGATGATTTTCTTTCACTTATTGCTGCATCAGGCAAGCTCCAACTGCTTCAAAAGGTCCCTCTTCTATTGCACCTAGACGTTAAATTTTCAAATCAGGGGGGAGAGGGGGGAGTGTAATAATTCTTTATTTCTGATGTGCAGTTGCTTCCAAGACTGAAAGAAAGAGGAAATCGGGTACTGATCTTCTCGCAAATGACCACGATGCTTGATATTCTTGAGGATTTCCTTTCTTACCTGGGGTACACATATCGACGGTATTTATTTGATCAACCTTTTGTCTCATCTGTTCTTCACTGTTATATGCATGGATAATCTTAATTGTTTCATTCTGACTTGCTGTTCCTGTACTGCATTTTGGGCACTGATGGCATGGGAGTCTAATTTTCATTTTATCCACTTCATGTTGGCACTTGGCAGCATTGATGGACAAACATCACTCTCATCAAGGCAGGAAAGCATAAAAGAATATAACAGAGCTGAAAGTGAAATATTCATTTTCCTGATGTCAACTCGTGCTGGTGGTCTAGGTGTTGACCTTGTATGTATTCTAATACTGTCCATATTAGTTCTTTTCTCTAACATGAGTCTAGTCTTGTCGTACAATTTTCGTACCAGCAAAGCTAACCTCCATCTCTATCATTGTCCTAACAACGTTTACTGTGTTTGCAGCCTGGAGCTGACCGAGTAATTATTTATGGTGAGTGGCCTTTGTGTGTTCTTCCATGCAGACTTCTCAAATCAAAAGAATCTAGGAAGTCCTCTGGGCACTAATTGTTGGTGTTCTGTTTACAGATCCTGACTTCAACCCATTTATGGACTTGCAAGCACAGTCCAGGGCGCATCGGATTGGTCAGACCCGGCCAGTAGTTGTTTACCAGCTCATTACAAAGTGTTCAGTTGAAGAGAAGATACTGCAAAAGTCTAAGCAGAAGTTGGCTATAGAGAATATGTTAATGAACTCTTCTAATAAGAAGCCAAATGCAGATGAGTTGCAGTCTATACTGCTCCATGGAGCAAAGGCAATTATTGACAGGAAAAAGATCAGTGCCACTTCAATCCACTATGATGATGAGGCCATTGAGAATCTCCTGATGCTAGACCCCAGTTCTGAGGAAAAGTGCTCCAAAGAAGACAATGGCTATCTTGGGAGCATTGTGAGCTTTGCACACGGCATGGAGGATGAAGAACCTGGTTCCCCCAAAGTCGAGGACCTGAAAGTTCTGAAGCCTGCTACTCCCAAGGTGGATCTGGGTCGTGGCAAGAGGCAAAGGAGAGTTGTCAACTACAATGATGCTGTTGAGAACTCAGACAGCGATGATATGTATGCTCCAGAGGGTTCCTCGAGTAGCAGTTCTGACGATGATTCTGACAACGACAACCATGAGACTGACAGTTTGATTTCAGCACCTGTAGCTCCTGCATCTGAAGCTCTAGACATTATTCCTGCAATTGAAGCTCCTGAAGCAATACCTGCACTTGAAGCCCCCAAGGCTTGTCCCAATAGCAGCTCTTCATCTTCGTCTGATGATGATAATAAGCCAGACAGCGCAAGTCTTGTACCTAGCTTTGTGCCAGTACCAGATTACTGACACAAACACCAGTCACCATATGGGTTCATTTGTCTTTTGTTTATGCCCCTTTGGTCCTGGAGGTAGAAGTTAGGAGGACCTAGGAAGCAAATCGTACTCTTTACCTATCTTTGTGCTAATACCTGACTACTGGCGCAAACACTGGTTACCAACTATGGGTTCGTTTTGTCTTTTGTTTATGCTCCCTAGGGCCAGAAGGTGGAAGTTAGGAGCCCTAGGAAGCAGATAGTAGTCTTTTGTACAGGAGTGATCAGATATGTAAATTATGCTGCTGCCTCTTGGTGAAACGAGATGACATCTCATTGAAGCTTATCTGTTGTTACCATGATAACTCGCGACCTTTGTTTAGGCTTTATAGTTTGAAATTCCTTTTCACGAAGGGCTTAAGGAACTTAACTCAGGCTGCTCGGCTGCACTACTCCACTGGCTGCTATGGCTGTGGCTGCTATTTTTATTCAGACTATAAACAGTAACTGCTAGAGTGGATGCTGCTGCATCACTTCTGAGTAGTATTGTCTCTGTCACAAAAGAATGTGATTTTAGATGCATTTTTGGTTAACATGTTTAAAGTTAGGTCAAATAGTATATATAGGTAAAAAATATTGTCCAAATGTTGGTTACCACTGTTGCAAATAGATTTGGTGTTCTTGAGCATGCATGTGTTGTACGGAGTAGAATGCAAGCAACTGGTCACCTGAATGAATTAGCTTTAACAGTTGAAAATAGTCCTGAATGATGAACAGGAAATTTGGTTCTTTTTTGACAGCTGAGATGGGAGAAGATCAGTGAGAGGATGAAGCTTCTGCAAGACCTTGTTCCTGGTTGCACTAAAGTGAGCCCTCCTGACCGGCAGAACAGCTCTACTTGAATTTTCTGATATGAGAACTTTTAAGAATAATGACACGTTTTCTTTGGGCTGGGTTGGGTTTGGATCGATTTAGGTCACTGGGAAGGTGGTGATGCTGGACGAGATCATCAACTATGTCCAGTCCCTGCAAAGGCAAGTGGAGGTATGCATGGTTCATCTTCAATCCTCATATACTGAAAGTTTCTCTTTCTCATCTAATAAAGGCAATGTACTGACCAAATGCATGATTCCCCTTGCATCTCGCAGTTCTTATCCATGAAGCTCGCGGCGGTCAATCCACAGCTCGGCCTCAACATAAAACAACTTCTATCGAAAGACGTAAGCAATGTACTAACTACCTGCAGTTCTTCCTTGTCCTCTTTTCATTCTAGTTTTACAAAGAAACACGCGCCAAAGTTACAAAATGTGTATGTATCCTTAATTTGGCGGCGCACAGCTTTTTCGCACCCCCTGTGCTCCTTCAAGTTCATCTACTCACCTGGGATTCTCATTCTCCCACGAAATGATGCCCAAACTACCACCATTGTCGCGGTCGGGCGTGCTCCCGGGAGGTGTTCATGGCCTGGCCAATTCAGATGGGTTCGGAACTGCATTATACTACTTGTTACAGTAGGCCCAGCTATAACTGGAATCTTACATTTAAATAGGACCCGTAAATAGGTTTACCTGCAAATGTTCGCTTGCAAATTGCAAAGTGTAGCCAACTGGATGCATAGTTTCTATCTTTTATGGTGCCATGAGGTTCTCAAACTAGATCATAGTAGTTTCAACTGTCAAATTGGAGCTGTGTTAATTTGGATTATCTGTCCTGAGTTGAACACCAAATAATTAGAAATGTCTAAGGTACTTAGAAGAACTGTTGTGCAGTTCTGGATAAAATTTCATAGCCAATGGTTAGTTGTTGAGACCACATTTTTAACAGCTGGAAGATGAACCACATTGTTTACTACATGAAGTGGATTCATTGGTCATTGGTACAGCTGAAATATTGCTCAAGATGATGCTAGATAAAGAAAAAAAAGAACTACCCTTGAACATATTGTAGTAGCCCAACCTTGGATTACTTCAGTGATGATGCATTCTTTCTTTAGGAGCTACAAGGAATTGATGGTCCAATGTAATGTTTTGGGAAGATCGGAGTCTCGCATGCAGCAGAAGCTTGAGAAGGCCAAAGAGCTTATAAAGAAGTTAAGGGTAAGCTCAGCCTCATATAAATTTATGGTTCAATGTACAAATTCATGTGAGTGACCTTTGTTAGTGTGAACAAATACAGGCAAGGGTACTGGAACTTGAGAAGGAATTAGAAGATAAAGAAAATAGTTTGTTAAGGGACTTGAGGTCTTCAAAGAAATTTAAAGCAGACCATAAAATCTGGGAATGTCACAGCTAACAATGCTTTCGCTAGTTCAATTCCTGGACATGAAAATCAAACAAACAAGGTCAATGAAGTGATGCAGGATCCATGCAACGACAAGACTCACTTTGACCGGTTAAAACCTGAAGCTAAGAGTGATCTGGATGCTAAAGACAACCTGCACAACAAGAATGCAGAAGTGATAGACCTAGAAGCCTATGATTCTGCTTATGGAGATGAACAGAAGGCTCAATATTCCGCCAAGTCATTTGGGACTGATGATAGCACACTGAATCCTGAAAACAAGTCTAGTGTTGTAACACGGCCTCGGCGGGTGGCGAAGGCCTCCGACGGCGAGGTGTCACAAAGGCGTCTTCGACCGTCTTAGGGCGGAGATCTGGCGGTGACTAAAGGAACTTTCCTGGCTATGCTCGTAGGGCGCTGCACGAGGCTCAGCGAGCTTGTCGCGGATTCCGCCTGGGCCAAGCACAGACATCTCCGACCGCTCAGGCGGACGCCGCCCCGCTTCGGCTGACGGGCGTCTCCGGCGTTGAGGGCGGAGGCCGCCCTATTCCTGAACTAATCAAACAAACAATCTTGCCTAAGTGTGTGTAGGTACCTAAACGCAGGCGCCCGTGGTCCATGAAAGCCTGGCCAAAGATGGCCCCCATGCCGGCGGGCGGAGACTTCTGATGATGTCTCCGACCGGACCGCGAGACCAGCGAGGCAGCGTGGCGCGCCCGAAGACGGAGGCCAGGCGTCGAGAACCCGGCCTCTGGGGGTCAAGACCGAGGCACGGTGGGCTAGCCGCTTATGGAGGCCCATTACTTGAAGACGGTGTGGCAGGATTGCCCCGCAAACAAGAGACTAGTGGTGGAATATTCCGGGAATGTACTGTAGCAGTTGAGGGGCATTGTAATAAATTCTGTCAAGAAGTAGTTGAGCCCTATAAATAGGGAACACTTGTAACAGTGTAGATGGATGGTGGATGAATTAATGAAACCTTAGCTTTCCGTGCCAGTTTCCTACACGTCCACCTGTCGTGCCTATCCCGAGCCTCTGCTTGAGGGTGACGCTCGGCGGGCGGAGGCCTCTGTCTTCTCCACGCTGTCTGAGACCGCTAGTCTCAACATTGGCGCCTACCGTGGTTTGGCCAAGGCAAACCAACGATGGCAGGGAAAAGAAAAACCACCACCAGAGCAGCAACGACCACGGGTCAGCGAGGAAGGCCTAGGCGCAACACTCGTAGCACCTACGCTATCTCGCCAGTGGAGGATGACACCAGAGCAGATGCCCAGGGTCAACCACCGGAACCCCAAGATCTAGAGATTCAAGATCCGGAGGCCCAACCAAACTCAAACCACAACACCCGAGGAAGAATCGCAATAAATGCAAGCACGCGCTTGCAAAGAGCGCAACAAGAGAGGGACAGATTGGTAGCGACATTCGCAGCTAATCGCCAAGCTATTCAAGCGCCCAAAGACAAGCAAAGCAGAAATAAGGCGCAAGCGATTGGCGGTCCTACATGCCGAGATGCTAAGTATGCAAAGACATGCGATACCAGCGCCAACCTCCGCAATCCCAACCTCCGCAAAGAACACCAATCAGAACCATACTACAAGGCCCTCCGCTAGTGATTAGACAGCCCACGATGCTATCTCAGGTGATGCGGAGGCCTATCGATCCCAAGTCCCCACTCTCTGAAGGCATACAACAGTCGCCATGGCCAACAGCGTACAAGCCAATCACACTATCAAAGTTCAATGGAAAGACAGACCCCCATCGGTTCATTATGAGTTACGAGGCAGCACTAGCCTCCGCTGGCGGAGACGACGCCGTCTTAGCAAAGTCATTTGTCATTGCAGCCGAAGGCAACGCGCTGGCTTGGTATTCTATGCTCAAACCAAGCACAGTCTATTCTTGGGAGAACCTCCGGGACAAGATATTGACAAACTTTAAGGTGCTAACAGCACAGTCGCTGACTTCCACAGATCTGTTCCAATGCAAGCAAATGCAGGGAGAGACACTATACGACTACTTCCGGAAATTTGTGCAACTAGAGGTGAAGGCACCAGACGTCCCAGACGAGATTGCCATTGAAGCAGCGATCAAAGGTCTATGAATCGGGCCGTTCGCAGCACACCTAGCAAGAAAGAAACCAACTTCCATACAACAGTTGTATGACGAGTTCGAGAAGTATTGCAGATTAGACAATGACCTCCACAAAAGGCTGGAGGAGCAAGGTCAAAACAGACAACAAAACAAAGAACAAAAATTCCCGAGAAAACCTATACGATCCGTAATGCATCAAATCGAAACCGTGCCGGGGGCAAGTGCTCAAAGATCGAGGGTCAACCTCACCTCGAGCAAGGGCAACAGCAAATACCAACACGGCCGGAGACCTGCATCAGAACCAAGGTCGGCAAGGTTACCAAGGCAAAAATTGGAACAAAAACCAAGCCGTAAACAACGCGCCAGCCATATTATGCTTTTTCACGGCGAAAAACGCAGGGCACAAAGACCAAAGATTGTCCGGAGACAAAAGAAACACAAGAAAGGATGAAGAACAAGCAGATCGCCTAACTCCGACACACAGAGAGCGCAAGAGAGGTCAACACCACCTACACAACTAGCCACCAAAGAAGTATTGCCCAATGTACCCAGCCACTAAACGCAACCCAAATACATCCCTCCACATTGACCTCTCGCTATTACCCAAACTTCCTACCAAAGATGGCGGTCATCACCTTCAGCAGACCTTGGGCGAAAGCAACTACT